TCCTGGGCCCCCAAAGCACTAAGCTAAAGGGAAAATTCAAGCTGCGAACTGTTTAGAGCAAACCTGCCACCCAATATATTCAATGTCATCCCTCTGCTCAGTGAGATAAATGCGTATCTGATTGCCCTCTTCTGAAAGGCTAATCAGAAACTCAAAAGAATGCAACCACTTGTCTCTCACCTACCTGTGACAATCTGGAAAGTTGTCCCGCCTTTCCAGATTGAGCCAATGTTCAATTTTAGATATGTTGATTGATGTCTCATGTCTCACTAAAATGTATAAAACCAAGCTGTGCTCTGACGACCTTGGGCACATGTCATCAGTACCTCCTGAGGCTGTGTCATGGGTGCGCATCCTCAACCTTGGCAAAATAAACTTTCTAAATTAACTGTGACCTGTCTCAAATGTTGGGGGTTCACATAACATAGGGATTGTCCTAGACTTTCCTACTATGCCTACATCCAGTCATCAACTCCCATCAAAAACACACCCCAATGTCTCTCTCATTCGTTCTTGCTTGTTTGTACCACTGTCCCTGGACCAAATTGAGGGTCAGGCTGCTTATTCTTGTGGCCCAATAATGAGATGCAGATGAACTGAGGAGGAAGAGAGTTTTTATTTCTGTAACTGGTTACAGGGAGAAGGCCTAGGAAATATCACCAGAAAAACTCAAAATTACAAAGATTTTTCAGAGCTTATATGCCTTCTATAGAACTCTTGGTGGGCTTTTGTTACATTCCAGCCTTTGTATAAGGGCACTGGCTCTATCAGTTTTTAATATGTAACTTAACCAGTCAGTGCTGAAAGAGTTGTTACAGAGGCCTATGTTAGTAAGATCTGACTTGCCACAATCTCCACTGTCAATTTCTGCATGATTTCTATCATGTTTGTATATTTAGTCATCATGAGAATTTCAGTGAGATGGGGTGTAGTAATCTTTCTGGCTACATCCTGCTGAGAGGGAGTCAACATTATGGAGCGCTGAATGCAGCGTTGGAGTGGAAGAGGTTGACCTGTTCCCAGTAGTACTCCCTGTTTCAGGGGCTTAGAGGCAATACCTGCTGAAACATAACAATATGCAACAGCAACACATATAAATAGGTTGCTGCTGTTTTCTTCTGAAGTTTAAGTTTAAGTAGTCTTCAGTCTGCAAGGCTTTAATAAAGCAAGGTTTAGGTTTCAGTGACTTCCAGTTAGGAAAAATGGGGAAAAAGGAAAAAATTGAAAACATTATTTTAGAGACTTGTAGCCAGAAAAATCAGAATTCAACCCAAACTGTAGAAAATAACAAAAACTGAAAAACATTAGACAAGACTAGAATCTAACAACAAGTGCACTATAGTTTTGAAACATAATTTTCCTCTTTCCAGTCTCCCATTTTTACTAAAAACAAATCATGGTAAGACTGGTTTGTTTTATTGTACTTGACCTGGTTATTTGTATAAAGTGCAGAAAGAAGAATTATTTTTTTCACATAAGCTCTTTTGAAATTGGCTTTGATGGAACTCTGTTCCATACAAGGAATCTTAGATAAGACTTTTTTAGCACCAAGCTGTGCTGTTGATTTGTACCCTTAAATACCTATGAGTTGAGTAAATTTCTCTCCTTTTGGGGTTCCAAGATAACTTGGAACCTGTCAGAAAGTGACATTCTTTACTTACCACAGGTCAGAAACCCAGTACAGGGACTGTGGAGACAAGGTATGAGGCATTTCCTCTAGGGAATTTTATTGACTTTACAAGTCAAATTTGATTTCTTAAAGGAAAGCAGGCTATTACAGTCAAAGCCTTGGTAAAATAACTAGTTTCTCCAATTGTGTCTGTTGCAAAAGAAAACAGATTCTTATTGCCCTTATGCAAATAACTATAATTAAGAGTATTCACAAATGGTTTTCAGATTCTGGAGAAATCAAGTAGAGAGAAACAAATATGTTCCAAATTTTGCTCATAGTAGTATACTTAGTATACTTTGCTTAATTGTTAAAAGCTGTTCATAGCTCAAAAGAAAAGTTTCCTTGACTCTGAAAAGGAAAACAAAAGATCAACAACATTTTAAGCAAAAAGTCAAAAAGATCACTTCAGTTTTTTATTAGTTTATGCAGTTAATTCTTGTTCTGCTTGATATCAATGAATATTTTATTTCTTCAAGAGTTCTGAACATTTTTCCTCTATTCAGATGTTACAATCTCCAAAGTTATCAGAAACCTGCATTCAAGAGCACCTGTTAGAGCTTCATAGCTGATTGCAAAACCACCTTCTAAAGAGGACCAAAACAAGACAACAATTGTTTATGGATGACAAAAAGTTTTAGGGTAGCCATAGTTAAAAACACAATTGACAAGGAAATCTGTTACCTCTGTGGCACAAAATAATTTATCATAACAATTATAATTATTACTGATAATTTACACTAAGATATAGCAGAATTATAGAAGTTTCCCATAATTTGGAACACATACCAATAACATATTTATACAAATATTGCCCAAAAAAGCCAAACACCATTTTATATTTGACAATGCTTCCTGTATGATTTTGTACCAAATAAGCCAAATTTTATGTTTACATTTGGGTACTATTAAATGTTAAGCCAAATTTTTAATAAAACCTTATAGATATATTTACCCAATTTTAATGTTTGACCATAAGGTAAGATTTCCATAAATCTTTTGTAATCCTTTACAAAAGATTCTTGTTAAAGAGCAGGTTAATGCTCTAAGAGAAACCTGCTGTGCATTTATTTTTATGTTCAATTTATGGAAAAACTGAAAAATACCACTTTAACATTAGCCAATATGTTTACACATAGAATTTCTTTTACAATTAATTTTCTCATAAACCTTCTGCAACTTGCTTAAACCCTTAGCTTTGTTTTATCTAACTTAAAACAATCCTTTAACCTTTTAATTTAGGCAAAAAATCCACATTCCCACACCTTCTTATAATCTTTTTACCAAAAGTATGTTTTCCTTTCTTACACATCTTGCATGTAAAACTATTTTTTTAGTAGTCTCAAACACATGTTACACTGTTAACTCTCAGCAACCTTTATTTTTCGTGAAAACTTTGGTAAGTTTGGGATTTTAATTATGTACTAGATGTGGAGCCTAGGACCCAGACAGGAGTGCAGATAAGGTCTGACTCTTTCCAGCATCAAATTCAATGTGTCCCAGGTCTTACCTAGCCATAAACCAGGCAAACCGTGCAGTTAAAAATCACAGTGGCATTCTATGAAGCATTTAGGAGGCCTAATTACCTTTAAATTGTACAACAATTTTACATAAATTCTTTCATGACTTACACAGACCATCTACGACATGCTTGGACTTCTTGACTTGTTCTAACCATCCCTCTTTCTAAAACAACCTGTCATTTTATTCTAGCACTAAATTTACCACACAAGATTCTCTTTCATATAAAATTATTTTTCTTTAAGCTTTTTTACTAAAAAATACCTTTTTATTTTTTATAACTTTCTTTATATCTCTCTTATTTCCTGGTTCCTTTTGCCTTGTTTTCTAGATAACCTTTAAATAAGCTTTGAATTAGACAAAAATTATTTACCTTTAAAAAGGGATACCATCTTAGAAAGAATGTTTTCCCACAATATATTTTTATTGGAAAATATCCAAATAAATATCTATTATGTGATTTAATATAAGTTTAGATTCTAAATTATGACAAGTTTATTTGTGAGTATTTATTCCATTGCATTTACCTCATTAATTTAATTGTTTACTTAGACTATTTATGAAAACTGTGATAGCCATTATTTAAAGTTATGAAACTGCCACTGCAAAATTATAACTGAGACAGTGAAAAGGTTCTGACCTAACTGACTTCATCTTGCTTCTAACCTCCAGGAAGTTCTTGTTCATTAACTTAGTTTTTATTTATCTTTGAAACAATATGGTAACAGTCCTTTCCCAGAACAAACCTCCTTCATGTCTGTGGACTAGACTGCCTAAAGCCACAAGATTGGGAGTTATGGCATTTTACCAAAGAATTTAAGATGTATCTATATTTATTAAAACAATATTAATGTTTTATCTATTAAAAATTACAAAAGCAAAGATCATTCTGTTTGGGGCTGAGTTTATAGTTTTGTAACCTCTATGCCAAGTTTTGACACCTTATAGTATTTGGCAGGGATAAGTATGAAGTTTCTCGATCAACAAATGCAAACAAAAATGTATGCTGGCAGTTCCTAAGACATTTCTATTATTACTTTACCAATACTTTTAAAGTCAGCTTATTTATTAAAGATTTTACTTAAGTCACATAATCTTAAAAAAGCATTCGACTAGTCTTTTTTCTGTTAAAGTATTTGATTTAAGCACCTTTAATTTTCCTTAATCCAATTAATTAGAGCTTTTTTATATTTTCAGTAGTGAAACATTGTGTATACAACACATAAATACATAGACATATTAGGCATGACAATAGAAGTACATTTTATAGATGCCCTAGATCTGCATATTGAAGGAAACAACTTTTAGGTGAAAAATCAGATGGCAAGATTTACATCTCAAAGTAATGAGAAAAAGCCTGCTGGTGCTAGAGGGAGATTAAAGATGGATGCCAGATCAAACATAAAATTATAGAAATGTATTATAGGACTATATTAGGAGACCAATTTTATTTAGACAGGGACTGCCTATCTTTTAACTGGATCTTTGAGCTCTGGCCAGAGCCCACACTGAATCTTGGGTTTTCAAAAAGGGAGAATTACTATCAGACTAGACCATGTGATGCTTTTACAGTGCATTAAACTTTTTTTTTCAAACAAAGACATTTCTAAGTGTCTAAATGACACCTTTTTAAAAAAAAAAAACCAAGAGTAGCCTCTGTTGCAACAGCTGTTAATAAGAAAAACACAATTCAGACAACCGAGAAGAAAAAAACTTTTGCTCAAAAAAGACAAGGTCCCAGAAGAGAAAAAACAAAACTATGAAGGCCTTTTAATACAAACACATGCACATGCATACACACATATACACATCTTAGATGTTACCTTTTAATTAAGCTGACTTTTAATCATTGAGCTCCTTTAAAAAAACCTTTTTCCTTCCCAGAGGGCTCCCAGCAGGGATGGACCTGACACCTCTTATATTCAAGCTTACATGGTATCAAAAGAGACAAGACAGATACACAAACAAGTGGAGACAGAATTCAGACAAACACCAGGGGGAGTGCATTCAGGCAGAACAGACTCAAAACCAACACAAAACCTGATCTTAACCAAAATGCAAAGTGGGTGTATGAGCAAGCCTTATTGCTCCCCTGGCGGTACCAGACAAGTGGCTTAACAAGCCCAGATAGGAAAGCAACAGACTCCTGGCATACAATCCAATTAACTAACCCTTCCAGCACGTTCACCCCTGATCTCCAGTCTTCCCCAACAGTGGGAGGGACATGCAATTTTTCACATGGGACAGCCCTCAGAAGGGATCCCTGGGAAACTCTCACCCAACAGCTGCTGGGATCCTCCTGAAGACTGTTTCATCACAAGCCGCTGACGGTTGAAAACAGCACCGTCCCAGTGGCTCCTGGCTGCCTCACCAAATTTGTTCCCAGACCAAACTGAGGGTCAGGTTGCTTATTCTTGCAGCCCAATAACGAGACGCAGATGAACTGGGGAGGAAGAGAGTTTTTATTTCTGTAACTGGTTACAGGAAGAAAGCCTGGGGAATATCACCAAACTCAAAATTACAAAGTTTTTTCAGAGATTATATACCTTCTAAGCTATATGTCTATGTGTAAGTGTGCATTCATCTAAAGACATATGTGATTAACTTCTTTTAATCTATAACTGAGATCTGAGTCCTGAAGACCTTCCTCTGGAGCCTCTGTAAATTTACGTAATGTAAATGGGCCCAGGTGCTGGGGTGATTACACTTATCTTGTCTCCTGCTAAATCATGGAGGTTTGTGGAGTTCCTTTAGACCCCCAATAAACTTGTTTGTGGAGGCCTGGGGAGTTTCTTCAGATTCCCAATAAAACTTGTTCAATCCTAAATGGGTCCTGATAAGAATTCTTTCATTATCTTGTCATGCTTCAAAGCCCAGGAAATGCCTAGGCAAAACTCTTGGTGGGCTTTTGTTACATTCCAGCCTTTGTATAAGGGCACCGGCTCTATCAGTTTCTTAATATTTAACTTAACAATTCAGCCAATGCTGAAACAGTTGTTATGGAGGCCTGTGTTAGTGAGATCTGGCCTGCCACACCACTGCAACACCCCAGTCCAGGCCACCATCATATCTTATCTGAATATTGCAATAGCATCAGAACTGATCTCCCTAGTTCTAGTCTTACCACTACCTTCCCCATCCCAATTTATTCTCATAAATGTTAAGGTCTCAGGACCTAGTGTTAGACTGCCTAGATTCAAATCCTGACACCATTTTTTACTCTCTGATGTCCTTGGACAAGTTGCATAATCTGTGTCTCAGTTTTCATACAGGTAAAATGGAATAATGGTAACATCTACCTTGATTATTATGAGGAAGAAATAACTGAGTGTATATAAAAATACTTTAGAATTGTACTTGGCACTTAGTGAGGATACAGTAACTATTTAACTGTCCTTATTATATTTCAAGTAGCTTTCAGAATAATCTACTGGTTAGCTATGTCATTTTCCACCTTAAATCCTTTCAGTGGATTCCCATGGCCTTAAGTAAAGTCTGAATTTCTTTACTGGGCCTACCAAGCTCTCATGATCTGACTTTCAACCTATATGTGGTCTTAGCACCCATCCTTCTCTCTGAGACTTGAAGCTCTAGCCATGCTAAAGAGCTCCCACAATCCAGTTAGCTCAGGCCGTTTTACTTTCTGTTCATGCACTCTTCCATCATGTAGAATGCCCTTTCCCACCTTGTCCATGTAGAAGACACTTTCTGACATTTTAAGACACAGCTCCATTAGACCCTAAGCCACATGAAGGCCGGGCCAGGTTGATTTTGTTCAAGGCCACATCTCCAGGGCTCAGGGTGATACATGGCACATGGTCAGTTCTCAATAAATATTCACTCAGCAAATGAATGAATGGATAAAAGCATCTCCTCAGTTATAAAACTTTTTTCACATTTTCTCCTCACCTGCATCTCCCCTAGCCTGGACAGATTTCGTTACTCTCTCCTTTGTCTGGCAAGGATATCAGCATCACTTTCTGTGATAGCTACCTTAAAAGTACTTAAGTGACCCTTGTCTCCCCTGTGCATTGAGCTCCCAGCAAGTGCCCAGCACAGTGCCTGGGACACAGTAAATGTTCAGCCCATGTTTACTAACTGAGCACATGAGCAAATCAGAGAGCAGTAAATCTCTGGAACCCCACATTGGTGGGCTGCATTGCTATCCTGGGATACAGTTCCACAAACTTCTAGACTTTTATCCCCATGGTTCCATTGTCTTAAAATTCATTCATTATTAAGTAATAATATACTTCCACATTTTAATGGATCAAAGACATAGGTTGCCATACTCAGTTATCATAATTTCAGTCAAAGGTTACCTTGCACTGCTGTTTGTAGACAAATGTATGGTTTTCTTTGGGCTGTGTGTAGGATTGAAGCAGCCCCTCAATGACCTTCATTTCTTGTCTCTCGTGTCTGACATGGAAGTAGCCATCAGATGAGCATTGGTAGAGGCACAGGCCTCCTTCTGGGAGTCTCATGGGGCTTATTTCCATCTAGAGGCACCACTATCCATGTTGATGGGATTTTTTTGGTATCTCCAATTCCCTGTACTGTAGCCAAGAAAATTCAATTCAGTAGATATTTGTGCAGGAATGCCAAAAAAGGAAGGAGGCACTGCTTTGTTTTTGGTCTCCAGAATCATATCTTTGAGTTGTAGCAAGTATCAAAAGTTAGTCTTTGGCCAGAATAAATAATTTTCTAAATTCCTTTCTCTCCCATTAGCATGCCCTGTTGGAGTAGATTACAGAACTTTATTCTCCACCAGGGATAGCAAAAACACAAGCAATAACATAAGGATATTTTCTACCACATGAAATGCAGGTTGTGGGGAAAACCCACCTCTTGCAGCCTGGTGGACTGAGGCAAAAAGTGGCAGAGGTTGGGTCATCAAGAGAGTATCTAATTTTTCCCCTGTAGGCTAAAATCCTGGGATTGGGGTTTAGATAGAGTGAAGGGAAACTTGAGAGCACAGGGGATTTTACCTTGCGTCTTTTTTTGGGGAAACCAGAGTGAAAATGGCAGTGAAGCAGAGAAGGCCTGAACTTCAAGCCTCTTCAACACCTTCAAGCCTCTCTTAGGCTCCTAAATATAGTGCAGAAGTTCCAGAGTTCCTCTGTTATCCCTGGAAGCACATGGAATGGTGCTGGACAGGGGCAACTGGCCCTGGAGCAGAAGAGTAACTGCATGGAACTGTCCAAGCTTCAGAGGGAGTCACACCACCAGCAAGAACCTGGGTGGGAATAGGTGAGCCAATGGGTCCCCAGGCTCTGACCCTGCCAAGAGAACTCACTAGAAGGTCACCAACCACACATACTATTCCTCAGTCCCATGAAGAACCCAAGGACCAGACCAGGCAAGATATCACAAAGCTGAAACCAGCTCTGGGGCAGAGCATGGATCTGAGGTCTTCAGCCCTATCACCATGAGATCATATGAGGGCCACCATACAACCATCATAATTTGGGGAGGGAATAGGGCATAAAGGAATAATATGCAAAGCCGAAATGCCATGAGTTACCCAGAAGAAGCTGTGTAAGCCAGAGGATTCTGAGACCCTGTCAAATAACAACATCTAGTTGAGGGTTGGAATTAGGTAGGAAGTAGGGAAGTCTGGGAAAGAAGGAGCAGAAACACTTGTTGCGTGTGGCTTAATGGAACATGCAAGGGGCCAGGACAAACTTGGTCCAGATGAAGTCACCACCCTCGGAGCCTGCCTTAATCACTTACCTGACAAATATAATCTGACTCCAGAGAGTGGAGCATAGGCTTAAGGAAATGGGGGCGGCGGGTGGGGAGGTAGGGGAGAGGCAGTGATAGGGAGAACAGGGAATTGTAGCAGAGATTGGGTTTATTGTTCAGGGCTGTCAATCAACACCTAACATATGCCTGTCTTAGCCTAAATCAATGAATAAATGAATCAAATGTGGGCAATGCCTATAAAGATTGCTGGGACAGGGAGGTGGGGGGAGACAGCAGCTTGGGAAGTCAGGCCTGTTAGATCCTATTTCACCACCTAATAGATTACACATACTAAAACCATCACTTCCAAATTATTTTTACTACATTTTTCTGTTATCTGTACTCGAGTTTATGTCTCTGGCATCTAGATGCAGCCCTTCATGGGCATGGGACCCGAGCAGCCACACGAGGCTGTGAACCCAGAAGGGCATATGCTCGGTTTAATGCTCTGTTATCTTAGAATTTTTAATAAAGTTTTCATCCCACATTTTCATTTTGCATTGAAATTCATAAATTATGTAGCAGGCCCTGACTCTACCTGTATAGTGGAATTACTAGATAATGGTACGCTACTGTGCATATCTTCCCCGTTCAGTGTTCGGTGCCCTCGTATTGGCAGCTTGAACTAGCTCATGGTGGATGTTGGTACACGCTGGGAATCAGGGTGGAAACTAGTTGTAAACCATTTACCGCAACACCACTAGGCAGGCCACAGGATAAAAGAATAATGATCGTACACCTCCCGCAGCCTCTACCCCCTGGGAATTTTGGTAGAATGCGAGAATGGAAAAGAAAATCTCTTGCACAGCCATTTATTAATTTTGATAAGGAAGAAAAACAATGACCTCAGCTTTGGTATTATTTTACAATATAAATTCAGATCCCGTGACTGAAAACTGTTCGACTTAAAAGAGAACGCTCCAGGAACGCAAAAGCAATTGGGCTGAACCAAGCGTGCGTGCTTTGGTAACGGGCTAGAAATCCCGCACGCGAGCCTGCCTCCTCTCCCCAGGCCTGAGCTGCCCCTCCCACTGCCCTTCCCCTCCCGCGAGTCAGAAGCTTCGCGAGAGCCCAGAGAGGCGGTGGGCTGCGCGACCCTACGCCAGCTCCCGGCTGGAGAAAGCGCACCCTCTCCCGCGCCCCCGGAAGCCGCCGGCGTTCGGCGCTGCGCAGAGCCATGGAATTCTCCTGGCTGGAGACGCGCTGGGCGCGGCCCTTTTACCTGGCGTTCGTGTTCTGCCTGGCCCTGGGGCTGCTGCAGACCATTAAGCTCTACCTGCGGAGGCAGAGGCTGCTGCGGGACCTGCGCGCCTTCCCAACGCCCCCCACCCACTGGTTCCTTGGGCACCAGAAGGTAGATGGGAGGGAGGAGGGAGGAGGGATGGGCGGAGGAGGGTGCGGCAGAGGAGCCCGACCTGCGGAGAGACGGCTGCTTCCTTCCATCCCTGGGGACCCTCAGGCTTGCACTGGCCTTTCCAGCCCGGCCTGTGGCTCTCAGCATCATTTTTCCTTGCTCTGGAGACTTGCTTTCCCGCAGCCCCACAGGGAAAGGTCACTAAAGAGGAAGCCTTGGGGGCTGGGAGAGACCTATTTAAAGAACCTGAATATGGAAAAAGAAAGCGACGTGTACCTCAGGTCTGTCTCTCCCTGCTTCACCAAACCTTCCACATGTGTTGCTTTAAAAATAGCATGTTATTCTAAATAACTTATTAATTGCAGAAAATATGCAAAATCGATCCCAATTGTTGGCACCCTTAGTCCATTTTAACCAGAGACAATTTTCTTTTCCTAAGATTCTTGTGAAGTAAGGAGCAGCCCCAGCCAGCCGCTCAGGAAATACTGATTGATGGAAATTTGTAAAGGGAGACTGTTAGCTTTTGGTCTCTCCTGTCTTTTAAATCCACTCCCACCCTAATTGAGGTTTTTATTCATTCAGCCGACTCTGAGTGGCAATTGTGTGATAGGTACTAAGATTACAAAGAGAAGCTAAATGCCTTCGCTGCACCTCCCAAGTCAGGTGCAGACTTAGGCCACAGAGAGAAAATGAAAATTTAAGGCAATGGGTGCTTTACTGGAGGCCCAAAGACAAGGGAATATCCATCGCAAGAAAGTGTACATCTCCGCCTAGAGGAGGAAGGAAAGTCTGTGAAGGACTGAGCAGAGTCTTAAAGGATGGTCGGGTGGTGTGGGGAAGGCATTCCAGCAGAGCTACTGCACGATGCTTTGGTTTCCCCCACTTTCTAGTCTTTCTTATCTAAAGCAACCACTTTCAACTCTTTTATCGTTTTTCTCTGGTATTTAAATCTTTATTTGTAAAATAATATTACTATATTGCATCTATTACTTTAATAAGTTTAGACATCTGCTGTGGTTTAGATATGGTTTGTTCGTCCCCACCAAGCCTCATGTTGAAATTTGATTCCCAGTGTTGGAGGTGGGATCTGATGGGAGATCTTTGGGTCATTGGGATGGATCCCTCATGAATGTCTTGGTGCAGCTGTCTCCTTCATAAGTTTTCACTCTAAGGGCCCTCTTCACCCCTCAGAACTGATTGTTGAAAAGAACCTGCCACCTACTCCCCTCTCTCTTCCTCTGCCTCACCATGTGATTTCTGCACACAACTGCTCCTGTTCACTTCCACTATGAGTGGAAGCAGTCTGAGGTCCTCCTCAGATGCAGGTGCCAATGCCATGCTTCCTGTACAGCCTGCAGAATTGTAACGCATATAATCATCTTTATGAATTATCCAGCCTCAAGTGTTCCTTTACAGCAACACAAATGTACTAAGACAACATCCACCTATGAACTTCTTTATGACAGGCAATCACACCTCATCTTCCACTGTCCCAATAATTATATTGTATTGTATTTTTTAGTTAAATAGAAAAACCTCTATTTGTATTATTTTTATTATGCAAATGTTATTTACTACTGATCTAAATGGTCCTCTTGCATTTTATTTATTTTTTCATAGAACTTTCCCCCACCTCCACAATATTGTTAAATTCTTCCTTTTCTAATCTGCTTCATTTTTCCGTATCTGTCAGTATTTTTTTTCCAAATGCTCTAATAGATCTGTCAAACACATCTAAATAATATTTCCAAGAATGCAAACATGCCAAATAATCTGTTCGTTTTTCTGGAGATATTTTTCCCACAGACCTCTCCTCCTTTTCCAGTCTGGACTGGTTGTTCTTTAAGCTTGGTATGGAGATACTGTTCTAGGACTCCCCATTGTTGCTGTCCTGTGTTATGTATCTCTACTGTGTCATGGATACTATGTCGTCTGTTGTTTCCATTGAATTGTTTTGGCATCCTTGTCAAAAATCTATTGATCATAAATGTCAAGGTCTATTTCTGAATCTTCAATTTTAATCCATTGATCTGTATGTCTGTCCTAACTCACAGACAGAGAGAGTAGAAGGATGGTTACCAAAGGCTGGGAAGGGTAGTGGGGAGCTAGGAGAGGAGGTAGGGATGGTTAATGGGTACAAAAAAAATAGAAGGAGTGAATAACACCTACTAGTTGATAGCACAGCAGGGAGGCTATAGTCAATAATAACTATACATTTTTAAATAAAGAGTGTAATAGGATTGTTTGCAACTCAATGGATAAATGCTTGAAGGGAGGGGATGGGTACCCCATTCTTCATGATGTACCTTTTTCACATTGCAAAAAATCTCATTTACTCCATAAATATATACACCTACTATGTATGCACAAAAATTAAAAATTATAAATAAATTATGTGTCTATCCTTATGCTATTACCACACTGCCTTACTGTTGCTTTGTAGTAAGCTTTGAAATCAGGAAGTATGAGTCCCCCTACTTTGTTATTCTTTAAGACTATTTTGGCTATTTGGAATCCTTGGGTTTCTATATAAATTTTAGAATTAGCCTATCAATTTCTACAAGGAACCAGCTAGGGTTCTGCTAGGGATTACATTGAATCTGTAGATCAGTTTGAGGATTATTGCCACCTTAACAATATTAGGTCTTCTGATCCATGAACACAGAAAGCCTTTCCATTTATTTAGGTCGTGTTTTTTTTTTTTTTTTTTTTTTTTTTTGAGACAGAGGCTTGCTCTGTCGCCCAGGCTGGAGTGCAGTGGTGCAATCTCGGCTCACTGCAACCTTCGCCTCCCGGGTTCAAGCGATTCTCCTGCCTCAGGCTCCTGGGCAGCTGGGACTACAGGCACACGCCACCACACCAGCTAATTTTTGTATTTTTGGTAGGGATGGGGTTTCACCACATTGACCAGGCTGGTCTTGAACTCCTGACCTCATGATCCACCCACCTTGGCCTCCCAAAGTGAATGGATTACAGGGGTGAGCCACCAGCTTTCTTTAATTTTTTTTTTTTTTTTTTTTTTTTTTTTTTTTTTTTTTTTTTTTTTTTTGAGATTGTTTACAGGTGGTGATGCCACCCACGCCCCCAGCCTTTCCTTTATACGTATTGTTTTTTGTATTTTTAGAAGTTCATTTCCAGATGTTGATCCTGTTATCTTCCTCAGTGTGATTCAGTTGACACCCGATTTTTTGTATTTTTCAAAGTACATTTCATTTTGCATTTCTTTTGTTAAATTTATTTCTGTTTCATTCTTTTTGAAGCTCTTGTGTCTTAATTTCATTTCAGATTATTTATTGCATTCATAGTGTTTTAGAGTCCATATTCCCTCTTGACTGTCACTAAGTTATTTTTTCTGTTGAGAGGTTTCTATCAGAATTTTGCAGATTAGAGGTGACAGGCCTATCAAACTAATATTACCAACCCTCCCCATTTACTCAGATCTGGGTCCTTGTGGTGATTCACCTAAGTCACAAGGAAATCTAGTCTCTAAGGCTCAAAAGGTGAAACTATTTTACGTAGTCAGTAACATTTTATTGCTACATAATAACTGTACGTATTTATGGAGTACCTGTGATATTTTGATACGTGCATATAATGTACAGTGATCAAATCAGGGTGTTTAGGGTATTCATCACTTCTAACATTTATTATTTATTTGTGTTTGGAACATTTCATGTCTTCTCTTCAAGCTCTTCAGAAATATGCAATAAATTATTGTTAACAGTGCTATTGAACACCGCAACTTATTCCTTCTGTCTAAAGACAGTAACATTTTAAGTATAGTCGTAAAGTTACAGAAGGATAAAGTGTGTGTAGGGAAAATTCCATACAAGATGAGAAATTTCATTCCTTACTCTTAATAATACAGGTCTTCTCACTATTCTTCAAACATGCCAAGGATATTCCTCCCTCAGAGCTTTGAACATGCACGTCTGTGGTTGTATTACTCTCCCTGCAAGTTATTCAGGCCTTTGAACAAATGTTACCTCCTAAAAGACGCTTGCCCTGACCATTCAGACTAAAATAGGACTTCTAGTACTCTCTATCTCCAGCCCTGTTATTATTATCTTGGCCCTTATCAGTCTCTGACACTATACTGTGTACTCTTTTGCTTGTTCGTTTATTATCCACCACTAACTACAGTATAAAATCTGTGAGAGGGAGGGTCTTTGTTTGCCACTATAAACCCAGTGCATGGTACAGTTCCCGGTGTATGCACCGGGTGCTCAGTAAATCCTTTGTTGAATGCATAAATATATTAGGTGCTGAGAAAATTCATTTATTCAGAGATCAATTTACTACATAGAGTAGGCCAGGTAAGGTTTGACATTTATTCAATAGGTCACTGAATCTCAGCCAACATATGGGACCTAGGATGTATATATGCAAGTGTGTGTGTTTGTGTGTGTGTATCTGTGTGTGTACTTGGATGTACTGCAGAGAGCATCTTTGTAGCTAAGTAGTATAAAGCACTTGGGCTCCAGAGTTAAACTGGAGTTTGAATCCTCATTACTGGTTGCCAGTTGTACACACTTGGACAGATCATTTAACCTAGTCTGTAGGGCTCAATTTCCTCATCTGTAAAATAGGGATTGTAATTATATCTACTTCATAGGGTTCTTGATGTAAATATTAAATAACATAAAACATGGAAAGCATTTAGCAGCGCCTAGTTCATAGCAGTGCTTGATAAATGTTAGCTGTTGCTATTTGGTGGCACTGTGCATTTTCTGAACATTTCTGAACAATGTTTACTAAATATATGTAGTACCCATTTTCAAGTATATTTAGATGCTTCTCTGGGGATGAAAAAATAGAAATTAAATATAGTACAGGATTCACAATAGTTTTCTGTCCTTTTTGTCTAGTCAGGAGTTTAAAAAGTATAATGAAATACTTCCATGTGGCTGGGGTATTTATGAAAGTTTTTTACCTAAACAAACAATTGTCATATTAGTTTATAATTTCCATGAGGGCAAAGGCCTTGTCTTTCTTATATTTCTCTGTATCTCTACCACATGGTACATGTGATAGACACTCAGTAAATACTTGTGTGTTTATTGTTTGTGAATGAATAAATGAAAAAATATTCACATTGTTGAAAACCACTACTCTGGATGGTGGGCGCTTATCACTGGCTTGATTATGGCAACATTAGCAAAAAAGAGTGCAGTATTTTAGAAACTAGATTT